AAGAACTGGGAACAATTGGGCTACTTTTGTGTGGTCACTGATTATCTTGTCCACCCTCTTCTTTGTCTATTCCCCCTCCACTCTCTTCGTCTATTGGTAACGAGATATTGTATCATCATTTCATGTTTACCAATAGACGAAGAGAGTGGAGGGGGAATAGACAAAGAAGAGGGTGGACGAGATAATCAATGACCACACAAAAGTAGCCCAATTGTTCCCACTCCTTCTCCGGGCTTCCCCTTGCCTCCACGTCAACAATCGATATATAGTAACAAGTCTGATAAGTTCTGACCACACAGAAGTCCACACAGAAGTGCCACGTGGCACTATCATCTCGTGGAGACCATGAAGACAACAGCAGTACACAGTATCGTCGTCAACCTCAGGTGAGTACCAATTCCCAATCATCCACAAATCCCAATCTCCCTCCTTGTCGCAACTAGTCAGCTCATGTAGACAGCATGGACAATGCCATGTCAGCACTAGAGACAGGTGGCATGCACCACATCAACAATGAAGACATGTGGCAGCGCCACATCAGCAATGCAATGTAGACTGGTGGCAGCACCACATCAGCAGTGTAGACAAGTGGCATGCGCCACATCAGCAATGTAGACAGGTGGCATGCGCCACATCAGCAATGTAGACAGGTGGCAGAGCCACGTCAGCAATGTCTGGCGCACAGAACAGAATGTGCCAGCATGCTACCACAGTCCCTCATTGTCGTCCTCAGTACTAGCGCACAGCTAGCGTCAAGCCAGCGTCAAACCAGCGACCAGCCAGAGTCAAGCCAGCATTGTCAAGCGCATCGGTCCGGCAGCGCGGGACCCTCCCGACCGCGTCACGCAGGAGTTGGTTTAAATCCTCGTCGCGAATATACATGGAGCTTCCGCAAGCCGCTCCGGCCGAGTGCGCCAGCCATACCTCTCGCGAGCCCCTACGACAGGATAGGGCCTACGCGAGGCACGACTTATCTCCACCTTACGGGAGTTGTCACCTCCCTTCGGTGGGCGTATCCCCGTTGAGCTACCAGTGCACAGTACGAAAGCTAATGAGTTGCAATCGCAGAGGTGGACCAGCAGAGGGCGTTTCTCGTTCGTTGTAGCATAGGGGGTACGCGCGGTATTACGCCTCTATCGAACCCGTACGCGAACCGACATCTTGGGGGGCTGAGGTCCCAAGCGCGACTCGTCGTCGGTCGACTAGGACGCATCCCACACACCACGCGTACACCACTCTAAAGAACATAAAAATAAGAGCACACACACCCACGCACGTACATACATATATACAGAACGACACTGAACAAACGACGCGACAACACTCTTAGTCCCTTAGTAGCCGTCCCATAACTTTCCGACGCAGAAATCGGATAGGCGTCGCGCGCGAGACTTAGTATAAAACCGCGTTGACGCAGGGCTAACTCATATCGACTCGCAATGCAAGAGTACGCAAGCGGTCGCAATGATGGCGTACTATGTAGTACCCATACTCATGCGATCCTCGTTAATCTCGAGGGTCGCGTTCGACACTCAAGTGTCGGCTGACACGCGCCTTGAGGGTTAATCTCTCGACGCTGGACAACCGCCAAGCGCGGTTGAGAACCACACCCTCTTTGCACCCTGCGGAGAGTGGGTGGTACACAGGTTCATACCTATGGTGGCAATCGTCTCTTATTGCTCTGGAGATCAGCTCCTTCATCTAGAGCCTGGAGAGATATCAAGGGGTTTGACTTTGACGGTTGCCACGGACTACAACGTCCAACCATAAAAATTCTAAAGAGCAAAAATGCTAAAAAGGGGAAGTCTCATTTTCCTCGAAAACATAATCTGTTTAACCCTTACGCGCGGTCACAGTAGGCCGCGCGAAACACTCAAGACATATGTATCTACATGTATGTAAAGGGTTATAAATATATGACGATCACTTCTCACAATCACAGTGGGGCTCCTTTCAGCCATATATATATGTATGTGAGCGCAGGCAGTCAAATCCAAAGTCTGAATCACCAAACGTACCTGCAATCACATCAAAGATTCAACCAAAAAGTTCATGCGCTACACGGGGTCAACTTCAACCATTCTCTGCACTCACACCCCTTGCTTTTAGCCATACAAGCCTCACTCTTGGTGCAACTCTCAAAATAAAATACTCAGTACTTTTCTTTAAATGGCCATTCAAAATAAAGTCCGGGTGAAAACACAACAAAACAATTCAAACCACAGGGCTAAAGCCTTTAGGTTGAGTGGCAGGAGTGGATTGGAGTTGAATCGTAAACGACGAATCAACAACCGGCCTGTTATCAGTGATAACAGAAGATGATCCTTGTAGGATCAAGCTGAATCTAATCCTGATCCTGAATCGGAACGATCAAGACGACCTGTATCACAAGACAGGCCAACCCCCAGGCTAGATTATCAGTGTATGGGGAATGAATCTCCATAGCACATTCCCACTCAAAATTCTCCTGCAACTAAGTCTAAGCCTACCTCTAAACCAGTGCCCAAGCAAGGTAGACCTATGGCAGAATCTCCCCTATCCAGGGTGGAACGCCAAAATCGCCACCTGTCAAAATATAATCTAACTCCTTTAAACTAAGAAAATTTCGGAAGCGCTTCCCGTAGGAAAATTGCCTTTTCAGAATTTATATCAGCCTGAATACGAAAACAGAAAATAGCCTTCAAATTTCCAAAGTCCAATTTTGTCTAACTCCCTGAATTAGCAAAAATTTTGGCAGCACTCCCTTTAGAAAAGGAGATTGTCCAGATTTTTACTAAGCTATATATAAAAATTAGACAAGTTGAACTTTGAAAAGTCGAAATTTGACTAACTCCTTGGATTTGCAGAAATTTCGGCGGCGCTTTCCGTAGAGAAAGTAGCTTACCAAAATTTATACAAAGCCAAGTATAACAAATGATCTCAGAAAATGCGGGAATTGATCTGAGTAAAATAAGGTTAGCTGAGAAAATGCAGAAATTGAACCAACTCCTATCGCTCTAGCACGTGGCGAGCAACTAAAGCAGCTACCTGTCAAACTGAAACTYAGACTAAGTAGCGATCTCACTCAGCCACATGCAAGGCCAAACCACAAGGGTAAGTACTCTCACCAGCCCAAGTCAACCTTATCAAACAATAGTTCGTAGTCTTTCAATGATTTGCCCCTTTATACCCAGCTTACATAAGGCATAAAGTCAGGCCACCCAAACTTATGGGACATGCCTAACCTTGCCATCGAGTATACACAAAACAGAGGGCACAAATACTTCTCTCTTCTTTGGGCATGTGACTAGGCCACCCTGGTCACCCTGAACTGTTTAAGTACCCCAACTTTATATAATTATCTGGACTTAGTCTTATAAGGTAGCATATGACTGAACTGATCAACTTAGTTCGAGGTCCAACCTGCCCCCTCTTACCACAAGTTTATTTTTAATTAATACTCTCTTCAGTTATGATAAGCTATAGTCAGACCACCCAAACTTATGGGACCCTGTCTGACTAGCCTGTTCTTAAGTAAAATAGTACCAGACTGAGAGAGAGAGAGAGAGTTCTTCTTCTTCCTCTTCTAAGTCCACCATCTCTTCTTCGCCTCTCACCACCTGACTTCTCAGTATCAGCAGACTACGACAAAGAGAGAGAGTTGTGACTTGAGACTTGACGACGTTGGATCCAGACTCGACATTGGGATTCATACATTTTGACGAAGGACTATTTGACGACATTCCCATCTTCCCCTCTTCTTCGTCTAACCCCCCTCTTCTTCGTCTGTGTATGGTTGGGGTTGGCACATTCTTCCTGTGTGAGGGTCATACCCCTTCACACCATGGAATGATGATGATGATGTATATTCGGGGCTGCATTGCAATATTGATTGTTCGGATCATTGGTATCTAAGTCTTCCGCTATGCTATCTTGTACTTTGTATTGAGAGGTCGGTTCTTGTTCTGGTCTGCACCATTACAATATGCAATAGTTTGGTATCGGAGAGGACCTCTCATTCAGAAGACCCGCTTAATCAAGTAACCAGCTTGCTTGATCTATTGATTCCTCATTAGTAAATCAAGTAGGACTTTGTCAAATCTCTGAATTTTTTTTTTTTTTCTCGCAACAACTATCTGAAAATTTTTTATAATTGCATTTCGTTTTACCTGAAATTTCTGATATTAGTATTTCGTTTTCACGCAACAACAATCTGAAAATTTCTGATAAGCGCATTTTGTTTTATCTGAAAATCCCTGATAGTAACATTTCGTTTCTCTGATATTTGCATACATAGCTGAAAATTTTTGATGTTAACATTTCGTTTTCTAGGCATATTAGGATAACAATAGAAGTGGTCATATTCTCGAAAATCGGATTTATTCTTTTCTGAAAATCGAATTTCCATTCTATCTCGCAATTTTTTTTGAAAACCGAAATCTTGCGAAGCCTACCAACATTTCGTTAGGCATATTCGGAGGTTGCCATATTCTCAAGAACTGGATTTAGTTCTTTTAGGAAATCGCATCTCTACTCTATTTCGCAAAAAAAAAATTCAAGATCGCATTTGGTGAAAGCCGAAACTTTGCGGAACCTAGCCTAGATTTCGTTCATAGTACTCTTCTGACATGTC